GGGGGAGTACGTATTTTTTCCGGACATAAAAATTTTCAGGACATAAAAAAGGGTCAAAAATTTTTTACGGACTAACATCAGTTCATTTAAAGGTTCAAAACACATTTTCCCTGACCGATGTTACTTAAACCATGCTTTATACGCGTTTTTTGCACCAATATCTGCAACATTTATCTTTAGAAAATTTTTTCTCACACCATTACTTATATCAATAAACGTTTTATTTTCCAAATTTGGGGGCCACCCTTACACAACTAATAATTTCCCCTATTGAAAAGTCTTTGCACAATTTTTTTTAAACTTTTTTCGTGCTCGAAGTTTTTTTTTTCTGTTTCCCCTGCTCGATTTTTGCTTTTGCCCCCCCCCCCATCACTTTTGTAATGGTCCGCCCCTTATTGAAACCGGATATTAAAAGAAACATTGAAATCGACAACACTTTTAGTTACCACCGAAATATACATATTATAAACAAAAGCCAAAACTACAAATATATTTCAAATACAAACTACTTTCCAATAATGGTGACTGAATTGGTCTAAAATACATTTTCTTTAATAAATAATAGATTAAGGAAAAGTTATAAAACGCCTTCTTTAAACACAAACATTTTTGATTCGTTGCAGAAGTTTTAATTGACAGGTGACCACCGAGCGGGGATGTATTGCCTCCTATTCGCGTTTGCATGGAAAAATATCCATCTCCAATTTACAAAATTCTGTCATACAAAATGAAATTTTAACTAAATGGACCAGCATTGTTCTCCAATAAACCTAAGACGAGAATTAACAAGAAATAGTGGCCAGAACACGATCTCATAAATGTTAGCCCGCCCATGCATAAGGGACGATTTGCCTCACAAAGAACCCTTCCTTTGTGGCGGAAAATGAGTTTGACCAAAACTTTTCTGATTTGATATTAATAACTTAGTTATTCATCTACATATTTTAATAGGAATTAAATTTCAGAAGCAATTCACTTTTTTACTACGCCTTGTGGAATCCATTAGGTTTTCGGTCATGAATGACGGACTGCAATGGGGCAAATATTACTGCCACTAAAATCGCCGGTTCCAAATAGATATTTGGCTTATTATTACTTTTGTGAAAAGAACATGCATGATTCAATAAAAAAATACGGATACATGTTTTGTAGACTCTCGTACGACTTCGGTATATAGTTAGAAAAATTGCAAATATCCGTCCTAATCGTGGGCGCCATTTTGGATTCCTGAACATGTCAAACATATTTGAGGGTAAACAAAAAAATAAGACAATTTTCAAGAAATCGCTGTTTGAACAAGAATCAGGACACATCAAGGAAGTTATTGATATATTATGAAGCCAAGCGAAAATTGAGTCAGAATTCGCTGGATCGTTCTTGCAGACAATGTCTTTTAAGCTTTAAGGTTTACGCCCGTATTCTAAAAGTTCACTCACACCTGAGTGCGACTCAAGTGAGATGCACTCAAGTAGAACTGAAGTGTGAGTTAGAGTGGAGTATGAGTGTGAGTGTCCACTCAACGAGGGAGCACTCACGCTTGAACATATTAGGCAGATTTGTATTCAAAGAGCGTGCTCGAGTGTGATTTGTTGTAGTGTGTGTGTATAATGTTGAATATTGATATGAAGTATGGAACATAGGCTCATCAATTGCATTCGTACATCGTTGCCGCAGGTACAAAACAATATTATTCACATATTCTAACCTATTTAGCCACCTATACGCCATATTGGAGGGCCCCCAATACTTTTTGCGTGAAGCGTGAAGGGCTTATTTTACTTAGCCGTGAAACGTGATCGGGCCCCCTATAATTTTTGCGTGAAGCGTGAAGGGCTTATTTTACTTAGCCGTGAAACGTGATCCATGATTTTCTTAATCCGTGACTCGTGAAAAGGCAAAATATTTTTACGTGAAATCATATTATGAAGAGGTATAGGGGGCCCTCATATTGGTATGATTAAGTAAAGTTGAGTGCGGCTCAAGCGACCTATACCTCTCACTCAAACTTTACTCAAAATTTGAGCTTCACTTGAGTGTGAGTGGTGTCTTTGAATAGTTGGAGAGTGAGTGTCGCATTATACTATGTGAGTGTGAGTGCATGGACACTCATTGAGTGGTGAGTTGCACTCATTGAGAATGAGCGTACACTCATTGAGTGTGAGTGAGCTTTCAGAATACTGGCGTTACAGTTTAACGCCCATATTCTAATAGCTCCCTCACACTCAATGAGTGGAGGTTCAATCTAAGCTTCCCTTGAGTGTCAATGATGTTTTTGAATAGCTGGAGGGAGAGTAGTCACATGCATAGTAAGGTACGACACTAACCCTCCAGCTATTCAAAAACAGCACTGACACTTAAGGGAAGCTCAGAATGAACGTCCACTCTTTTTGAATATGAGTGAGCTTTTAGAATACAGGCGTGAGGTTTGCAAAGGACAACCTTTTTTGAATTGACTGTATATATTTGCCATAATTATACACAGGATATATGTGTGTATAATCTGCTAGTTTATATCGTTACCTTCATTTATATTTTTAATTTCTCCACGGATATCAGTCTCAAACTTTCGTAGGTCTTCAAGGTTTTTGTTGATCTTTTTACAAAAGAAAAAAATAGGCACGCAATGCGTACATGTTGCAAGCCATCTGAGGGCTGGGAGCTTATTGAGGAACTATATATATTTTCGTTCTCTGGTGGGAGAAACAAAATAATTCATTTTGTTCTGTGTGAGGAACATCGTGACCAATATTACTTATTAGTTTAAACCTACTTGTGGGCTATCATGTATCATGCGTTCTGATTGACTACGTTACTAGTAGGTTACTAGTGATAACCTACTAATAGCAACAAGCGGCGAAAGGCGCGAGAGTCAATGGCCGTTTTTCAAAGTATTAAAGGCTGCATTTGAAGGAAAAAGTTTTAACAAAATTGCCTAATTTCCGTTCTGGATTACACACAAACAAAGACTCTTGGAGACTGCTGACACATGCGTTAAAATTCTTAAGTTTTATCAATTTTGCTCGTAGTTTTGAATATGAAAGTGTGTTAGTGGTATCACAAATTTAAAGTTTGGGTTACTTGTTTAGTGGGCCCCTCGCGTGAGTCGCGCACAGACGGCACAAGGTTGTATTGTTACGGTTGTTTTACTTGTTTATCGATTTCGACGACCGTAACAGTACGACCTTAGATTGTCTTCGGCGACAATATGGATAAAAAAGAACGGCTAGAATACACGAACGGAGGTGAAATGGACTTCCAAGAAGACACAGGGAAACTTCAAAGGCCAGTTATCCGAAAGGACTACGGAGAGGAAGCTGGAAAAGCTCCAAAGACTTGGAAAACACACGGGAAATCGGAGGCGAAGCAATAAACGTTTTGCAGAAACGATGATGTCATAGTCCATTGTAATCGAGCGCACGTACAAAGTGTGGACGAATCTTCAGGATGCATCGTTACGAAGAGAAACGTCAAAGAAGAAATAGCGCCAAAAACTGTGGAAAGAATGTTTGAATTGAATTTCTCTGAGAAGGAGAAAGGACTGTCAACTTCAAAGGAAGATCGTGAGTTTCTAAAGAAAGTTGGAAGCGGAATCGTGCATCGTGAAAACTCACACTACGAAATTGCATTGCCATTCAAGGAAGAAAAACGTAACTCTTCCAAATAATCGTCCACAGGCTGAGCAACGATTAAAGAGTCTGAAGAAACGGCTTCTATCTGATGTCAAGTATCGACAAGACTATGCCACTACATGGACACTATAATAAACAAGGGCTACGCAACCAAAGTAAGTGATGAGAATGCATCAGCGAGTGAAGGACATGTCTGGTACTTGCCACATCACGGGGTATACCATCGGCAGAAAACTGACAGTCTTCGGGTTGTCTTTGATTGTTCAGCTCGTTACCAAGGGGAGTCTCTCAATGATCATCTACTGCAAGGTCCGGACTTAACAAGCAAGTTAACAGGGGTGTTGATAAGATTTAGAGAAGAAAGAATTGCTGTGATGGCCGACGTGGAAAAGATGTTCTACCAAGTCAAGGTGACAGAGCCAGATCAAAACTGTCCATTTGTTAGGTAGTGCATCCTCGTCGAGATGTTCTAACTTTGCCCTGAAGCTCACTGCTGATGACCACGAGGAGGAATTTGGATCAGACATAGCGGACACCTTGAGACATAACTTTTATGTCGATGATATCTTGAATCTGTCCCCACACATAAAAAGGCAATCGAAGTGGTTCAAGGAAGGAAAACAATGTGCAATAAAGGTGGATTCAAGCTAACCAAGTTTGCGAGTAACAGTCGCAAGGTACTCGAGTCGGTTCCAGAAGAAGAACGAGCGAAAGAGATCAAGGGCCTAGAGATAGGGCAAGATAAGCTACCAGTATAACGGGCACTTGCAGTGTGTTGGTGCGTTGAGTCGGACACACTGCAGTTTCGGATACAGCTGAAAGATCAACCCTGCACAAGAAGAGGGATCCTGAGGGATCTTTCTTCGTCATCCCAATGGAGATATATAAGCTCTGCCGAAAATCCATCAGACGAAGGATCACGTGGTATGACGGCCAAGCAAATCGTTGAAAAATCCAAGAGGCTCGAATGTCCTGAGTTCTTGAAAGATTCAGAAGAGACCTGGCTGACGGGAGACGTTGTCGAAAGGAAGGTAGACGCAACTGATCCAGACGTGAAGGTTAAGGTAAACGTGAACGTGGTAACAGAGAAGAGCGATATTCTCAGCAGACTCGATCGTTTCCAAATTTGAATACGATGAAGGCGGCAGTAACGATCTAACTAAGATATAAGAAGAATTAAAAGGAGAAAGCAATAACGAAGAAGGATGAATTAATGAACCGAAAGCCCGAAAGTGAAAAAGTAGAACAAAGGCTCGTAAGCGAAGGAGTAGAAAAGGTCTCGGCAAGTTCGTGGTTATCGGTTGACGAATTGCGGAAAGCAGAGATGGAAATAGTCAAGGTGGTTCAATCCGAGGCATTTCCAGCGGAGATAAAGAATCTGAAGGACACTCAGGCTGATTCCTCGTTAAGCAATCGTCTTTCAGACAAGAAGAAGAAGGCAGTTTTGAAGAAAACGAACGTTCTTCATACGCTAGATCCATTCGCAGATTCCGAAGGTATTCTGAGAGTTGGAGGAAGAATACGGAGAGCTAACTTGGTGGAAACGTTGAAAAAGCTTATCATCTTACCGAAGTCGGGACACTTCACGAAGCTGGTTGTCAGTTATATTCACGAGAAAACGCACCATAGTGGCAGAGGTATAACTACGAGTGAATTACGAGCTCATGGTTATTGGTGCATCAACGGCAACACGGTAGTTCGACGATTCATTTCAGAGTGCGTAACTTGTCGACGCCTTAGAGGAACAGCAGGCGAACAGAAAATGGCGGACCTACCACAGTCAAGACTCGAAGACGTGCCACCATTCACCTATAGCGCGGTCGATTACTTCGGTCCGTGGTACGTTAAGGGAGGCAGAAAAGACGTTAAGCGATACGGAGCGTTGTTTACGTGCATGGCTTGTCGCGCCATACATATCGATATCGAGGTTACACACTCAATGGAAACAAAATCGTTCATACAAGCTCTACGCAGATTCACCTGTCGCAGAGGTGCCATCAGGGTTCTTCGTAGCGATCGAGGAACTAATTTCATAGGAGCCGAAAATGAACTGAATAAAGCGGTTGAAGAGATGGATGATGACAAGATAAGGGCAGAATGACTCAAGGACGGAATCGATTAGATAAAAAATCCGGCGAAAGCGAGTACTTCGGAGGAGTATGGGAACGACAGATTCGATCTGTTCGCAACGTCATGAACGCTCTTATGAAGCGGCATTGTCAGAGATTAGACGATGAATCTTTACGTACATTCATCTGCGAATCAGAAGCAATCGTTCATGGTCGCCCTCTAACCGTGGAAACGCTAAACGACTCTCTTTCACCTGTACCACTGACTCCAAGCGCATTACTGACTGGCAAAACAAAGCTAGTACTACCACCACCTGGGGAAGTTTCAGAACGAAGACGTGTATTGTAGACGACGATGGAGACGAGTACAACACTTATCTAACAATTCTGGACTCGTTGGAAGAAGGAATACTTACAGAACCTCCAAATGAGATCGAAGTGGACGGGTTTACGGAGAAACTTCAGAGTAGGAGACGTGGTCTTGCTGATTGATGTGGACAAAGTGAGGAACCAGTGGCCTATGGCGAGAGTAATGAACGTGAAGGAAGATGACTAAGGTCTTGTTCGATCAGCAACCGTACGAACGGCAAGCGGCTCAACTCTAGATTGTCCAATCAATAAGTTGGTCTTCAGTACTGGTCGAAACCTCGGAAGAAGAGCCAGAGAAGACCGGGTGAATTCCCAGACGGAGAGCCACGATCGTTAAGATTCGGCAGACAAACGGTTGAAAGGAACCATCTAGCTAAGTATACTTAGAGACATTTGATATTACGAACAGTTTTTAGAATAAAGTGACATTCGGTTCGAACTTGATTAAGGCAGTTATGGTTTTATGTTAGTTTATGGTAAAATAGTCGTTAACTATTTTAGAGGAGCCATGTTAGTGGTATCACAAATTTAGTTTGGGTTACCTGTTTATTGGGCCCCTCGCGTGGGTAGTGCACAGTCAGCACAAAGCCGTACTGTGACAGTCGTCGAAATCTATAAACAACCGTGACAAAGTGACAGGCAATTTTTTAAATATATGCACAATGTGAAAAAGTATACTTACCCCTATATTCTCAACCTCTTTAACAAGCGTTTTAAGAGTGAATGTCAGTAAAAATCGAACATATGAGATATTTCGCGGCCACGACTGAAAAATCGATTTTGCTCAAATTTTGCCCAGGTATACCTTATTATATCGGAAAATGCACCATATATTTTTTTAGGCCAAATGCTTTTTTAACTTTGAGAAAATGCCGTTTTAACACGACCACCCTAAATCGCCATTTTGTCTGGGAAAATATGCGCTGAGTTTACCGACAAATTTCACGACGACAACCGTTTATAATCGATCTAAAACCCTAAAAATCTTGTTTTCGGTTATTCAAAGGACCGGGTACGTGACTTACAAGAAATCTGAGTTACTTTTAGGAATAGAAATAATCGTAGTTTTGGAGCACACTATCTTACTTCATTTACGATACCCTCTTAACAAAACCGATTTTCACTATGGGATAAAGCTCCAAATCGATCATGCTTCTACTAGTTGGCTCTTTAATAAACAAGCTTTCAATTGACGTAAATACTTCTTTGGGCAAATGAATATGCGATAAACGACAGCGCGCTGAAATCGTCCGTTTTTGACGTCTTGCAAGCAAACGCTGTAATTTACATACCGTCGAAGTAAACAATTTAATCAAGTATTCTAAGTATTTTACCTTTTGAGAAGAAGATATATTCTTGAATGGAGACTTTTTGCCTTGCTAAGTTTAAAATTGGTCCAAAAATCCTGATATATTTGTAAAATATCATCATATACAGGTATTTTGAGATATAATATTGTTGTCAGTTGCATAATTATAACTTCAGATCACTGTTCAATATTGTCTACTTTTAATAGCGCTAACATACAAATCGATGAGCTGTTTAGGGATTATATTTGCTACTAAATTTCCCAAAATTAGAACTTCAGTTGTTGTTTTGTTCCAGTTTGATCCATATAATGTACCATTTTACATATCGACTATGCTATCGAGTATAAATGTTTACGAATACATAAGTTAATTATTAAGCAGCTGTTAATAGCGTGCGTGTGAAATGAACATTAATCCATACAAGGTTTGTTATTTTATTACATAATCTACCACCTCAAACTCAAATTATAGCAAATAGTTTAGAATAATTATTTTAATGTGTGTTCACTTTGATGCTCAGTTAAAATAATCAGTAAAATTACTTTCTTTTGATCTTTTGATACACTATTGTTTATTGATCTTATTATATTCCACAAGTAATAATAACGTTGTAATATAAAGACATATCCACAGCATATATACTTTCTTAAACAAGTAATTGTAAGTCCATTGTACTTTTTTATCTTAAGATGGATGAATAAAACTATTATTATTATTAAGTACTAGTAACCCAAAAATACAGCATTGAGATATGTTACCCCAGTGCGACACCAGAAATTATTATTGTCTCCCCACACGTCGCGTTTAAAAAAAATGGAAGCTTGTTGCTAGTTTAACGCCGGATTAGCCATGTGTCAGATGCGGCAAATGCCACGGGCCTCGCGCTTATGGGGGCATTGCGCTTTACTGTGCCACGCCCATTTTTACGAGAACACGGCCATTTTCTGTTGGGACACACCCATTTTAGGTGCCTCGCGAATTTAGGGCCCCTAGGCTTGGCAGTTGGCCCCAGCACGGCCCCGGGAAGATATGCAATACTCGTGTGCATGTAATCTCCAGTTGCGTTGAGCTGTTATATTATGATCCTGTTTATACATGTTGACCCAACAACTGGGCCAGGCAGGCCATTGTCTCGTTTATAATTGATGCTAATAAATTGAAATATT